TTGGTATTCTTAGAATCGCATGAGAACAGCTTTTACTGAGAGATCGTAAAATGTCATATCAAGTGCAATATGTACGATCTACTCTGTTATTGTACTGTTTCCGTGAAAAAAATCATAAAAAATAAACTGTCTTGTGTACTCTTTTTTGACTATCTCAGTAAATTCTGATAGCCCAAGCGACGATAAAAAATTAATTTTTCTGACTGCCACTTTCATTTTTCTCAGAAAAAAGATTTTCGCTACGAAAAGTATAATAATCCCAGAGCTCATTGTGATATAGACGACATCAAATAGCCTTGAAATTTTTATTTTAATGCATCAATCGATAGATCGTGTTGGAGCCTCGCCAATGATCTGTGTTTATATCTCAATGCGTTTTATTGCCAACGAAAGCCTCTTTTATGAAAACTTCTTGAAAATGCATCATTCTAGATTCTTCAACTTCAGCAAAACAACTACTACATGACAAGGCTGCCATACGTACATGACTAGACTTGTATCGTGAAGCTTTACCAAATGGTTTACGATAAAGTTAAATTTAGTGTATTTTTCATGGGGACATTATGAACTGAAAAAAATCTCGCGGGACATTTTTCTAGTAAAATTCATTTCTCACAGGAACAGCACTCTTGTCTCTATAATCATATAGTTGCTGGCTGTTGTTGTTTCTTAAAGAATATTTCGTGTTCTTTGGTTCGATATAATTAAAGTATTGATTGAGTGTCCTAATTAGTCCAAAGTAGTACTTAAAAAACATACACATTCTATTGACAAAGAACAAATGAGAAAATGGTAACTAGCGTTGATCCTTGAGCAATTTTATCTTCGAGGTACTTTTCATACCACCACTCACAGTCAAATAGACTTGATACTGACAACCCTCGAGGCTTGAAATATTTCTCTGTGTAGTTAACGAATAGATTTCACTTCCGTAGTTCACTACAGATTGTCCAAGTCAACTTTCCAATTGGAGTCGCGCTAAAAAGTGGCGATGCGATCGCGTAACGCGACTGCTATAAGGGTCGCGAAATAAGACGCGATTTTAGCGATCGCTATTTTGTCGCGATCCACGATAAAATAGAATACGGATCTTGAATATATCCAGTATCATTCATGTCGTCGATTCGCGAGCCTCAGACAGTCTCGCGACTGTCACGGCGCAGATCTCGCTCTATCAGCTATTTGACATTTCTCATTATACCTGACTTTGGCTTGGTCAAAAAGGTAGAAATCGTACTGTTTTTCCATCTTTAATTAAGCACAAAAACCATCTTCCGCAAAGCAAAGTATACTGATGAGAAAAATAGTACGATTTCTGACTTTTCGACCAAGTTAAAGTCAGATATGAGGAGAGATGTAGAATGAATGAAAGTACCTGTAGAAGAAGAAAGATCCAGAAGATCAATCTTATGCTCTGTTGGCGCAAACAATCATCGCAAACTCATAATGACAGTCGTCGTTGAATATATCATCAATTGTCTAACTGACTCTTGTGAATATTCTATCGGTATTGTATATACTGACTGCTGCTGTTGGTGATGAGTCATCATCATTCTTCGCATTGCTCATAGTTTTTTCATTTTGTTTGCCAAAACAAAGCGAAGTATGAAAAAAACCAGTAATAGGATACGTTTTGATTTACAACACCGATTTGTTTTAATTGCAGACACACTCTTTTTGTAAAAAATGTGTTTTTCTCAGTATGTGTTTTTTCGATACCTCCATACTTCATTCATTCGAATCACATTACGACTTCTAACAAAAATGGTCCGATCGAGCTGAAATTTTTACCATAGAGACTTATGTCAAGTTCGTTTTCTTTTAAAGCGCTTTTGGTTTCTAATTTCGATGTGGGAAGATGTTTAAATAGAAAACCAACTTTTTATCCTGGTTTTTTAGTTTTGTTCGAATATCTGGAGAAGGAAAGCATATTTTTCAAAAAGAAAAGAAACGAACATTATATAGGGTCGAAAGTATCTGTGGTCAAAATTTCAGCTCCATTGAACTATTTCTTCGACGTGCCGTAATAGGACTGAATGGAAACTGGAGTTTTCCCGAAAATTCATAGAAAAACCTGTCAGAAAATCTGACCAAAAATACATCGATTTTCTTTTCGATGCTCGGTCTCTGCTATAAATTCCAGCCCGATCAAACATGGCTTCCCACGTTTCCACCGGGGTCAAAAAAGAGGGAAGAGTACCCTCAAACAATCACTGAATTCAATACAATAGCTTGTGTTATCATTTGATGATGCTGTTGAGGCTGAACCTGAGGATATAATGTCTTACATAGGTTGAAGGTCATTATGAAGCAAAATTCGTGGTGCATTTTTAATCTACCTGGTCTAGCCATTTTTAATTGTCGAAGCATTTTATCATCTTCTTCTGAAACAGTAGTGGTGTTATTATTTTTGTTTGGACACAATAATGCTGGTTGAGGTGGTGATGGTGCTTCGACTGCTCTTGCCGGTTCTGTTGTAGCTCTTGAATAAATTTTTCGAAGCATTCAAAGATTATTACCACGATCAACCACGTTTGTTATATTTGTTAATGCTCATTGAATCTAGATAACTAAATAAAAATTCGTTTATCTTGAATACTTTTTGTAACACGGAGAATAGAACACAAAGTATGATCATTTTTGAGTAGATTTACTTAGGTTGCAGATGCTTACAAATCAGTCTCCGAAAAGTGTTGAAGAGCCTTCAACATTTAAGTCCAAACGCTTCCTGCTCTGGTTTCGATAGTAAAGTTTTTTCATCTGTTCTAATACTATTCTATGACAACTAATTCTGAAGTGTAGCGTAGTTAAATGAACGTGTTGCAATGAACGAAAGCAATCGATAAAAGCAGAAAAGTGATCTTTTTTGCATTTTACAACACAGTGAACAATACATAATCTAGCCTTCTTTTAACTTAAGTTATCTGTTTAAAAGGTAAAAGCTGTAACATAATTATTTGGAAGAAATAACCCTCTGAAAGGATACACGAGCAAAAAACGTACTGTCAACTATTTTTACCTGAAATTAATTTATAGACTCAAGCAAGGTCCTCACTGTTACGTGTCAAATTTTAAAGAGGAGACTAGTTGCAAACTTTCTAAATATGTAAAAGTTAGTTGAATGCATTACAAGCACGTCTAAATTTCTAGTTCAATTCTTCAGCTATTATAACCATAAAAAAAGAAATAATTTCTTTAAAATTACTCTTCTATGCCGTAGACGACTGAATACCATTTTTTAGAAGAATCTCGGCTTTGCTCGTGCTTGTTCTCCAAACATATAACATCTGCCGCTCTTCTGTTTCCCCTTAAGACTTAGGTTTACGCGTAGATAGAACCCATACTTTTTCTTTTGCCTTTTTCTTCTTTTGTGTTCATTTCTTTAGTCTTTCTTTTTCTTGTCAGTTTTTATAACGATAGTATTGCGAGCAATATAATACAATTGCGCTTGCTATTTCGTTTACAATGTACTACGTGAGTTAATTTCAACTGATTATCGGGTAGAGTGGCATACAATGATACATCAACTTTAGTTTGTGATCCCTCATGTCGAATTAAAATAATGCGTTTGAGACGATAAAAACGTCGAGTTTTCTCTAAACGATTATTGAGTAAAGCTAAGAGATGATCGAAATAATGTTTATCGGAATAAAGCCAGTGCACAATGAACAACAGTAATGTAGCAATAACAGTACTACTGAGTAAGTATTGAGTCTTACGATGATATCGCCCAACGTTTTTGATGATGAAATAAGCACTACAATTTTTTTTTAATAAAAGTACACAACCAAAGATACGCATGAATACTTTATTCACCTAAGTATAATATTCTTTCTTTTTTTCTTTCTTAATAAAACGTTTATACGAATCCCAGGCTCATATTCATAGTACAAATAGCTTGTCCAGTATAACTACTATCTGAAGAAATGTTATCATCGGTCTCAGAAAGTTTCACTGGATCCGACGCTGGCATAGCCACTATAAACTAGTATTATTTCTTACATAATCTATGATTCTGTTGCTACTGTTATGAGGATTGTGATGATAATCAGCACCTTTTTTTTGTTGATGTAGTTAATATAGGTTTTTCAAGGTTTCTTCTAATTTAACAATAGCTATTTACAATCCATTTAACACTGTTTGCTTTTGTTCAGTTAATGATACTAAAATTTTCTCATGTCGTTCATAATGGTTTAAGTCTGTTTTAAGTCTGTGATATCGTCGGTAAGCTGTAGTGAAAAATAAGAGAATAGCACACAATGATAACATTTGTAATTTAAGTTCAATTAACTTTGAAAACAGGTTACTTAAAGATATAGAAAATATGTCTGAAAACATGAATTAACAGAAACAACATTTTTTTAAAATATTTAATTTGAATCAATGATCATGCAATCTTTTTCCTTTCAGATAAATATAGTTGTTCACCAGAAGTTCGTTAGATCTGTGTTTGGCACTTCTTTACAATAAATGAAGTTTGATTTGAGTCTTAAACATTTGAGTGTTATAGAAAACACTTTTTGAAATTAAAAATTTTTTCTTCTTCTACACTTAGTCATCTGAGTATTATGAAGAACTTATACTTGAAGATACAGAGGCAAAAACTTAGAATTTTCTTTAGTTAATTGGACAGTGATGTCATAATTTTGCAGATAAAACTGCTGTGTTTGACTTAAGTAGGGCATCAGTCCTAATTTGATGCAGAACAAAAATTTTTATGTGAAATAAAAATGTCACGACAAACTAGTTTCTTATGCATGCCTTCAAAAACTGCTTATCGAATATCCTTTTTTTTTATGATAAAGGGGTCCTATTGTTATATAAGTTTTTCACGCATCTTTATCTGTACACTCTGTATTGACACATCGTTTGATTTCTTTCGCTGTAACACACCGAGAAATTTTTTTTCTCTGTTTATAAATCATCTGTAAAAAGAGAAGGTCTATTATTAATGTGTATTTAATGTATTTTAGATTGCGTTATTAGTCGAAGTTAGGGTGATGCGTTTCACTACTGGCATACTTTTTCTATTACTCTTTACTCTTCTACTTTTAATATCAACAACGGAAAATGTTCTATCATTAGACTGGCTTGTTGATAAAGTCCCCTTTGAAACAACATTGAAGAAGACAAATCGGGGTACATTAGTGTTGTCGAATGCTTTAGTTTCCCGTGAATTTTTACTTGAGCCTGATTTTGCTACGATTGATTTTCGTGATAATCATACAACAAAATCGAGCCTTCTTCGTTGTGTGAAGCCAGAAGCGATTATTACATTAGATGGAATTGAATATCCAATCGGCGGTGTGCTATCAAACGCTCATTGTGCCTATTTTAATCGTACATTATTTTGGACAAATAAAACAAAAGATCCAATGGCGTTCCATTTTAAATCTTATGATGTGCTACAACCACAAGCTCCATTCAAATATACACCGAAACGTCATGCTCCATCGGATATAGTTTGGCCACCGAAAGGAATTCATTTAAAAGTTTATTTTCAAGCACCATGGTATGCTCCCATGCCACATCAATACGTTATTGTCAGTGTAAACTATGAAATGTACGATGGAATACCGTTGATTGTGAAATGGTTAGAAGTTATAGATGTAGAACAAGCAGGTGATGTAGATTTATCATTTATTTCAGTTGAACTTTTAGCCGTGAACTTGCCATGGTGAGAATATAGTATTATTTAGTATTCAGTAGTAAAGCAATCGCATTTATATTTTTTACGTTAGGTCACCCATGGGTCATTATTGGCTGTATGCAGAAACTAATCAACCTGGTGGCCATGGTACAAATGTGCTATGGAATTGGGATACAGAGTTATGGACAGTTCCTGGTTCATTGCCAGTTCTTCTTAATTGCACATATGAAACCGATCATCCAATTATTATTCCCTTAAAAGGTCGTATAACTTCATTTCGCGTCCATGAGCTTGTGATCGCTTCAAGCGATCCAGAGCGTGTCGGATTATCAAAGCACCGTCTCGTTCGATTACTGGCACGTATGTTTGCTTTTTTGATGTTTAAAATTTTCGGTTAGAACTACTATATTCTTTCCACAACCTTTAGCACATACACAAGAAAATCCAATTTTTTTTCACATGATTGATTCATCATCACCAGCATTTCGTAAGGCAATTGATCAATTGGCAGAAGTAGGCTTTGAAATGTTGATTTATAGTTTTTGGTCTGGTTTCAATATGGAAAGTGATGATGAGAAATATATCGAAGAAATATCAGGCAAGTTAGAAAGTCAGTTTCTTACCGAATTCAATAATGTTTAAGAGACGGTCCGTCAGAAAACCGACATGCAAGGTGAATTGCGGCGCGAGCTAAATTTCTTTTTTTGTTCTTAGTATTCTAGTTCGAAAGAACTCATCGAAAAATCAAGAAATTCAAGATATCTCGCCTTCGTATGACACTGTTCAAGAATTAGATGGACTTAATCTTTTAGTCATCACTAGAAGCTCCATTTTTGGATTAAATCAAACTAGTTCAAAAATTCTAATTTTTGCGCCTCTGTATCTTCAAGTATAAAATCGTTCTTATTTCATGCACGACGTTCTTCATAATACTCAGATGACTAAGTGTAGAAGAAGAAAATAATTTTAATCCGCAAGGCAAAAACTAGAAAAATTGTTTTTTTCAAACATGCCTTTTTTCAGTATTTTGGACCTACAAACCGCTAGTCCAGCTTGACCAAAAAACAAGCTCTTTTTTTTGTACAGTTGATAATTGTGCATTGATTTATATATAAAAGAAAATTTTGAACCACTCGGAGGATGTTTTTTTGAGATGTGCAAGTTGGGGAGATATTGTACATTTTTGGAGACGATTTTCAATAATTCTCCGATTCTTCATTTTTTTTCCCAATGCTTCAACATGCACCGATATCAAATTCATAACCTGAACAAAAATGAACTTAACATTTCGAAATATACGTTAGTCGACTCAGATTTTGATCCTGATTCCGAATATGATATTTTTATTACATAAAAGTTGAGTTCTGATAAGGAAAATTGAGAATTACGGGCATAATTGAGTATTTTTTACGTCTTCTTCAGAAAAAATGAATTTTCTCGTATTGGACAGGAATGGAAGATGTAGGGTGCTGCCTTTCGCTATACCTTTCTGCAGTGATTTTGTAGAGCAGACATTTCTCTTTCGTACGAGATCTGAACAGACCGTAAGGATCAAGCTTAAGCATGCACCAGTTACAGTTAACTGTAAAACTGTAACTGTCATAACTGTAACTGCTCATAATTGTAGACAAATATTCTAGAGTGAATTAGTCTTCTACGATTTGCATACATTTTAAGGATGTCTCTGTTCTTAAAATATCTCCAAATCGTAGAAGACTAATTCACTCTAGAATATTTGTCTACAGTTATGAGCAGTTACAGTTATGACAGTTACAGTTTTACAGTTATACAGTTACGACAGTTACAGTTATAACAGTTACACAGTTATGACAGTTACAGTTATAACAGTTACACAGTTATGACAGTTACAGTTTTCACAGTTACAGTTAACTGGTAAAAAACTGTAACTGGTGCATACCTAATCAAGCTGTTTCTGAGATATTGAAGAAACGTTGATTTAATCCAAAAATGGAACTTCTAGTGATGACTGAAAAGTTAAGTCCATCTAATTTTTGAACAGTGTCATACGAAGGCGAGATATCTCGTTTTTCGATGAGCTCTTTCGAACTAGAATACTAAGAACAAAAAAAGAAATTTAGCTCCGGCCAGTGAGGTCGATATTCACACGAACTGTCTCTTAATGTTTATCGTTTTTTCTAGCTGATATTGCGTATGCAAATTCAAAAGGAATTGAAGTGGGTGGCTACGATCTTATTGCGTTAACCCGTCAAGTGCCGGTACAATGGATGGCCATCGATCCCAATACAGGTTAAAAAAGGTTTTATTTCGCACTACGAGTTTATAAAAAGTATTTGACTAACTTGTTATATATATATAATAACTCGTATTTTCACAGGCAAACCTCGCGATAGTGCTTGTTTTGCATCAGGCTGGTATGATTATTTATTGAACAAAACATTGACGTTTATGGATAAAACCGGCTTGATTATGTTAGAAACAGGTAACGTTAATTGTAATTGAAATCTACGGAAACGAAATAGCAGATAACTATTTTCTCTGTTTTTTTAAGACGGACCTTATGCCGGCTACCCATGCGAAAGTAAAAACCATTCACATCATCATGACGTATCAGTGAGTAGCAACATGTAGATCATTATTGAATTATAATTCTTGATATTCTTATTATTAGGACAGGCTGGCAAATAGTAACCCCTAAGGAGCTCGGTAAAACTCAAGTACACCTAGGAGCTCTTTTTTCCTTGCTGCTTAAGGCGATTCGATCTTTTTCTAACGCTGGCAAATGAACTTTGTCCCACCGTTTCTCTTTGTCCATTGTTCTTCTGTCGAGTTAGATTAGATTGAGTTTGCATATGTCTTAAATAGACAAAACAAAGTTGAATATAGGCATATTTATGGTCTAAATGAAGCTTAGTTTATAGCCTGTCAACAACAGGATTAAAAAAGAAACTATTTAAAGCGACCCCTACAACCTCTAGAAAGTTAATTTTCATTCAAAAAGTTTAGTTTCGAGATAAATGAATGGCCATGTCGCCTAGAATATCTGCTGTTAAAATCCATTAAAGATTAGTCTATATCGACCGTTTTTCTCAAAGTCTGTTTATACGGGGTGGAAAAATTTCTTTTTTTAATAACTTTTCGCGCATAATACCTGCCCCCAAATCGCTGTTTAGATGAAGTTGTTTAGATAAAAGATAGTAGCCAGACAAATCCGTATTAAAACGAGAGATTTTCATCTCTCCATGTCTTAGCCCCAAAGCTGTGGATTTATAAACCTTCTTAAAAGTATACGAAGAGAGCCATTTTGAGATCATATTACGCCGTTCTTGACTTTATCTCAGCAACTCTAAACTTTTGTAAGAAAAAGACGTGTAAACCTGCGAGAGGTCTGAATAAGCCGATCTACTTTAAATTCAAGAATTTTCATCTGAAGATTTGGAAAAGTTTTAGAACTTTTAATGAATCGAGATGTATATTAAAGTAGTCGCGCAAGAAACTCAAATGTGTTGCTCAAACACTCTCAAGTATGACCTACATTTTGAGAAAACACTCGAGCTGCAGGTGTTTTACATGTAGAAGAAACTGAGACTTCGTGTCCCAAGAACTTAGTTCTACTATACAATGACACTGTCTCCCGATTGTGATAGACGTTACTGCTGACACAATAAGAAGCCCGCTTACGTTGTTTTTTAAATTGTACGATACTTTTATTGTTTTCTTTTCTCTTCCGTGCAATACTTGCAGGGTATCAATCAAAACTCGCTGGCATCTAACCGACTTATTTTGAACGGTTAGGTCAACTTTTCTGAACAGATCAAACTATAAATTAATTTATCTGTCAGTCAGTAGTCAGTCCTATACAACTGGAATTGACAATGACTAGTTACATACGGCCTCATCGACATGAAGATTCAGTAGCAAATTCAGCCCTCGAGCGGTACGAGCGGCCGCTCGTACCTTTTAACAAAAAAAACTGTTTTTTCCCAGCAGATCTCTCTTAAAATAATTTGTTTCTATGACGCCCGCATGTATCTCGCACTTTTATTATATACCGCACGTACCAAAAAATAACTCTGGATCCGCCACTGTGAAGATTCGACGTAACTATGAGCTACATACATTGAAGAACCTTCATTTAAACATCGCAGCGATTCGGGGGTAACTATCATGCGTGAAAAATATTAAGAAAAGAAATGCACTAACCCTCTATAAACAGACTTTAAGAAAAACTGTCATTATAGACTAATCATCTTGAAAGTTCTTAAGAGATAGTCCGTACTACCATTGAGAAACTCGATTATCCGGTGAAAAATTACTTTTATCTTTAAGCATGCTCATTCGATTCTCGTATTTTTGGACAACTCGTATACATGCATGTATACATTGCTTTCTTATGATTATTAGGATTCGATTTACAGACAGAATTTGCTACAAGGCGAATACTATAAGATTCTACGTGAACGATCTGTTTACATAAATCAGCCGGACTACTATTTTTATCAAGGAGGTTCAAGAACCGGTAAGAGCAATTAGTTTAAGTTAAATTAGCAATAATGATATTGCTAATTTCTTATTCAAAATTTAAAAGAGACCTTGCCTTTTTTTAGGTATGGGATATAATGAAGATCAGTATTCTCTGCCACGATGGATGGATATAAGTGTTTCACGGCAGGGTATGTTTGATGATTTGTACGAACGAACTCCAACACAAGGATGGATGTTTGTACCTTTAACTCCTTATCATGGAGGAGGGGATGATGCACAGTTTGAACCGTTACAACAACATCTACTGGAATATGAATGGGCATTAGCACAATACTTGGGTTTGTTTCATTGATTTTTTTTATTTATCTTCTCAGATACTTATGATCATGACATTAGAATTTATTTATCGTATCAGGTGCCGGAGTTGCTGCATTTTACAGAGGATATCGTCTCTACGATACAAATGAAACAAAAGCACTTGTACAAAAATGGGTCAATTTTTATAAGAAATATCGACAAATTTTAATAAGTGATGTTATTCATGTAAGTTGTAGTTTTGCATAAAAATATTGAATTTAAAGGTAAAGACTAACGTAAGTTATACTACAATAATTGGTTTTTACTTCAGGTACGACGTGCTGACCTTCAGTCAATAGATAGTTTTATGCATGTGAAGCCGTCTTCAACTGATATTAAAGGTAGAAATCAAGTCTAAATTTATATTTTAACCTGTCCTAGTCATAAATGATACTTTTTTCTTGAAAAAAAACTGAAAACATTGAACTTTTAAAGTATATGTACTTATTGAATGTTAGTTACACTCAATAATACAATCAAAAGCTTATATTATAGATGTAGCATTTCAATGTAAAGTTAATTCTACAGACTTTCTCTTTTTACTTTAGGTTTAGCTATGGTGTTCAATCCAACTTCCGAACACATTGATACACTCTTACCATTGCCATTATATTACACTGGACTAAAAGACGTTGCTCAAGTATCGGAACAAGAAAATGAATGGAAATCATATAATCTAGAAAGGAACTACCAAATTGATATCCGAGTGTCATTGAAAGCTTTAGGAATAACCTGGTTTCTAATCAAATAAGTTTTGTAAACTGTCATATTTCCTCTTTCATCTTTTCGTTTCGCGCAGTGCCAGTGAACATACTCTTTGTGATATTCGTTTATACGATAAAAACTCATCAAAGTTTCATATTTTTCTATTTATTTTTAAGATTAATCTGTAGTATTCGTGTTTATTGTATATGTATCATTTTTTGGGAGACTTATCACTGTAGTTTTACTTTTCTAAAAATAAGTTAGAATGTGTACCATACTAATACAGCTGATGTATTTAGACCTGTGCGCCGGCGGGAAAGTCGGCGGAAGCGTGAAACAAAAGTTTTTCGATCAGTGGCGGCGGCTTGACCCTTTTAAAAGATTTTCCGCCTTCGACGGCGGGCGTCTAAAAATCGTTTTTCGATCGGCGGCGGCTAAAAGACTTTGAAATTTTTTCATTGTCAGTGGCCGGACTAATCACAACATAACACCTTGTTTTTCTAATTTCTCATGACTTTTTTTATTTCAAAACACTTTCTATCGGCAGAGGATAAAACCAATTTGCATTTTTAGATTTTTAGCATCGGGGGCGGCGGCAGCGGTGCAGTGCACAGGTCTAGGTGTACTGTAGCTTTAAATCTTAGTTTGTTAAAAACGGCCTTTTGGAGGAGGCATCCTGAAGATCTCGTCCGGATCTCCAGCATATTTCGGTTAGATTTGCCATGACCTATTATCATTCAGTATATGCTGGCTGAACTGAACTTCAAGACGAAAAAAAAAATTTAAATCAAAATCGACGTACTTTAATTTTTTAAATTTTAAAAAATTTTAAATTTAAAAGCTGTTTTGGATTTTTGCAAACGAAATCTAAAGTTTGACGCAGATTCTTATATAGATAAATTTCTGAAGCGAAAGTTTTGTTCAACTGAAGTATGAAACTCTTGCCGATGATCCTTAAATAACGAAGCATGATGGAGTAAAAGTTTTGGTATAAAAAATATACAAAACAATGTACTACAGGAAGCAACGTAGTCTACTTTGCACAGTCAACGGAAAATTTTGAAAAAACTTAAATTTAAAACATACGGAAGAAAGCTTTGAAAATCAGATAACGTTACACACACCTCACAGTGGGCAACTAAGCGGACATTAGGCCAAAAAGTCGATTTCGAGTGTTTTAAAAAATAAATAGTCCAAAATGTAGCCCTTTAAATTCTCTATCCAATGGTGTATAAATGTCTATTGTGAAAATG